TCCGCCCGTAACCTCGGTGTCATTTTTGATTCTCACCTCACCTTCCGCTCCCACATCAATAAAACCACCCAAACCTGCTTCTATCACCTCCGCACCATCTCTAAGATTAAAAACATTCTCACTCCTCCCGATCTCCATAAAGTCGTCAACGCCCTCATCTTTTCCCGCCTCGATTACTGTAACTCCCTCCTCTCCGGTCTTGATGCTAAATCCCTCTCCCGCCTCCAACTGGTTCAGAACGCAGCAGCCAGACTTCTCACTGGTTTTAACAGAAGGGAGCACATCACCCCTGTTTTAGCGTCCCTCCACTGGCTCCCTGTGCGATTTAGAATTGATTTTAAGATTTTACTGATTACTTTTAAAGCTCGTTTAGGTCTGGCACCAAGCTATATTTATGAACTTTTAACCCCCTACGAGCCCCCCCGCAGCCTTAGATCCTCGGGCAGGTCCTTGCTGACCATTCCAAGGTCGAGGCTCCGGACGAAAGGTGATCGAGCCTTTTCTGTCCGGGCTCCTCGGCTTTGGAACGACCTGCCCGAGGAGATAAGGCTAGCACCATCAGTATCCTCTTTTAAATCTCTTCTTAAAACCCACTTTTATAAAACAGCTTTTAATTGTCAGCTTTAAACTTATAATGTTGTATTTTACTGTCTGTCCTGTCTGTTTTGTGGTCTTGTGTTTCCTCTGTTTGTCTTGTCTTCTTGCATTCATTCTTATTGTTTTAACTTTGTATTATGACTGATGTATTGTTTATTATGCTGTGCAGCACTTTGTAAACATTGTTTTTGAAAAGTGCTTTATAAATAAAGATTTATTATTATTATTATTATTATAATTGATCCTTTGTTGAGTGGACCCCAGGAAGACTAGTGACCACTTGTGGAAGCTAATGGGGATCCAAATAGATTAATAGAATAAACTGCGTGTCGAGTTCAATGTGAACCTTGAAAAGTGTGGCACTTTTTATCACTGAATACTCAGAACAAACTCAATTGAATTATATTTTACAGCAAGTATCCATGTAGGGTTAGGGACGTGCCAACCTTTCTGAAAATCCTGTTTTATAAATTGACCACTAAGTACAGAGGTTAGTACTGCTGTAAAATATAGGAACACTATGAATTGAATTTCTTTAGCTCATTGTTTAATCAACGGCTCAGTGTCCTGTGCTTTGTCTTTGGTTGTTGCATTAGAGGTGACACTGCAAACTGCTGTCTAATTAAAGACGTTTCTGTTGTGATTCATGAACCAGCTGTTTTTGCCTCATAGAATCAAAGGCTGTTTTGCTTATTTGCCTCGTTTTTGCCATCCACAGTTTTGTTATACTTTTTGAATGCACTCTCAAAGCTGCTTTTAAGTGAACGTGCGTAGATTGCTTGCACAAAACTGGGGATTTGCGACGTTGGGGAGATTTTTTTTCCTATCGCTGCATGTTTTTAGTGGCATCCTCTTGGAAAATTGTTTTTCTTTTTTTAAACCCATAACATTACGTAAATGCATGTTTTTGAAGTCCAGTTTTTGAGATTTGTGTTATTGGTGGATGTATACGTAATACAGGTATGTGTGCATATTGGACACTAATATGTAATAATTTATACATTTTCTGTTTTATAATAGTTCCTGTTTCTCTTACGTCCCAAATACTGAATGGTTTCATGTGGAAGGTGGGAGACAGAAACCTTGTATTTTGGTTTGAGTAAACAAACAGTCCAATTCATTGTGCGGCACGGTGGCTGAGTGGATAGCACTCTCGCCTCTCAGCAAGAAGGTCCTGGGTTCGAATCCCGGTCGGACCAGGGCCTTGCCTTTCTGAGTGGAGTTTGCATGTTCTCCCCGTGTCTGCGTAGGTTTCCTCCGGGTACTCCGGTTTCCCCTACCACTAAAAATATGTCCAATAGTTCTAGCATGCGCCTCCTGTACTGGCGACCGCGCTCCCATCTCTGTGTGGAGTGAGAGACAAATGCCCAAAAAAATTAACAATTGTAAACCGCTTTGAGACTCAGATCTGCAGTGAAAAGGCGGTATATAAATAAATACTTACTTACTTACTTACTACTTCTTATATTTTCCAGCAGTTCTTACTTGTAGTACCCAACGCTCATGTTTTTGTCCATTTATTAAAAGGGATTTTCTGAAGGGAAGACGCTTGGCATATCCCTCATTCCATATGCACACACTTTCCTGCCAAATTCTGTGTTTTCAAATTAATAATCAAACACATTACAATGATTTGGCGTAGAGAAAATGGAAGACATTAGATTCTTTCCACAAGAGGAGCCATTATGCGCCATCTTTCCAATATTTGTTTCTCTTCTTTTATATTCTTTACGTTGTGCTTGTCAAGTTGTTTGTACTGTTGCCTAAACAATATACAAACACACAATCGATGCAATTTAGCAATTGTGCTAATTCCAGCATTTTTATGTTGACGCTGTTTGCTAGCACATTGATTTAATATGTACTTTACTAAATAAAAAAGGCAGCAAAATAGTTTCCTCATCAAAAACCTATCCCTGGAGAATAGACCTGCTTATATCACCCGTAGTTTTTCCTGGAAGAACCAGTTAGAGCCAACTTTGACAGGCTTCATGGACAGTAATTTGGAGAAAAAACCTTTTGATAGCAACTACCTAGCAATGAAAGAACCAATCGTGATAGTTTTGGGGTATCAACGCTGATTTCGGCGACAGAAGGCACCTGATTGGTCAGTAAATTTCTTGATACATAAAGGAAATGTTAATATAAAAATGCCAGGATCATGTAGAGCAATGAGTTAAAGGTTTTTAATCCTAAAATGGTCAATGTGACATTTATAGTTTGAAACATACGATACTAAACAATTACTTTCAATGTAAGTCAATAGGAGCAAGTAGGAGCTAAACTTCACTCATGAGTTTTCACCTTCTATCCCCAATTTGTTTCAAAAATGTTCCATCAGCCAATTGTACGATGGTATGGTTTACTTGTATATTAATCAGTGGACATGGCCAGTCATAAAGCACTGGGCCACAAATTGAACTGAACAAGTAAAACACAATGCACACTGTAGTAGATAGACATCTAAGCACAAATAATGAAATATAACGGGAAAGAGCAAAAGGGAGTCAGATTGCCAGAGTAACAGGAACAAAGATGGCGAGAGTCAATGAGAAATATGTGTTGGGCAGATGGAGGAGAGGAGTGTGATGGAAGAAGCACTGGGCGAGTCGTGGAGATGGAGAGACATGTGAGAGGGCCAAAATGTGTGAAAGGCAAACCACTTCTATCCAGGCATGAAGATGGTGGAGACTTCAGTTATGAGACAACTGTGCTCAATATACAGGGTCTAATCAAAACAAAATGCCAAACTGATTTTAAATGTTTACTTTTGGTTGTGTTGTGACGATATTTGCACATTGAACCGCATAGATGTAATGTTTTTAAGTTTGTTTGATCAAGCCATGAACTGTAGGCCAGCTCTTCTCATTGTCAAATTCTTTGCAAACACATTTTCGGGTCATTATAGAATGTGTGAGTATTTAAACCTATTCTCGGCATGTCTTTGCAAGGTTCAAAACACAGCTATGTTAGTCGACTACTATTTGAATAATCCATGAGTTGCGAATAATCAGTTCCAGCTCCCATCATTACAACAAGCCCAGATTCTGTGATAAGTCAATTTTGCTTGTTAAATCCCCATCAACATATCTGTCATGAAATCTATTGTTTAATTGTGTTGTTGCAATACCAGCAGCCATAGACAGAGGATGTTTTGTCTTGTTTACCCGGAAACCTCTGGCTTTGCTGGTAAACTCCCCTTTCTTTACTCTGCTTCACTGTTGCTCGATGGTTCATAGAGGTGCAACAGGCCCACAGTCTATTCACGCCTGCTGCAGAGGCCCCCAGAACAGTGTGTTGTCAGGTTGCCATGTGAAACTCCCCCATGGACATGGATAGATATTTAAAAGTGTGGTTCGAGCAGTGATAGACATAGACACATAGACTTTCATGGAGACAGCTGTGAGGTATTAGAAACAGGATGCTGGGCTCCTTAGATGTCCTCTATCGCGTCCTCATACACAAGGTAACAATAACTTTATAGAGAAATCCAGTTTTTTGTTGTTTTCTGTTAAATTTTTACTTCACCGCTTTGAGAACATGGCTTCAGTCTTTGTTCTACAGTCTAGAGTCCATAGGAGCAAACCCACTCTCATTGTAGGCCTCCCCCGAGGTTTCTCACATTTGTCCCACTGGGTTTTTGAGTCGCTCCTTGCCGATGCATGGGTGGTTAAGGACAGTGATGATCGGTACATTTAGGACATTTTACATTTTTGGACATTGGTCAGCCGCCTCCTATGCAGCAATGATTGCTGTGTTTTTTGTTTGTTATTGCCTTTCCTGTGTTTGAACGGTTCGTTTGCCTGATCTGTTGAATTCAGTAAATGTACATCGCTTAAACACAGTAAATTAAACTGCTGGTAGACTTGAACATAGCTCTGAGCTCCAGACTTAGCACATGTTGTCTCTGAGGAGAGGGGTGTGTTTCTCAAACGTTGACTCTATTCTCTGTAAACTAGACCACGTCAGCATAAATGGGAATGGGACTGATTTTGGATGTTTTGGGAAATTCAAAGAAAACTTTAAGTTATGGAAGCCTTGACACTCTTTCTCTTTATATTCATTTAAAATCTCAACTTTGAGCTAAAACAATGTTATCAAAATCACTTGCCCATTCACTCCTTTGTGGTCTGCCCCTTTACCGTCAGGGATAAATGTTCACCAGTTGTGATGCACACATTTTTTTCCTTTGAGCAAAAAATACTTTGCAAGGCTTGTGAATCATCCACTTTTTACACACTCAGAAAATAAAAAAGTAGCCTTGATCAAAGGAGTAAGGGGAGTGCAAAGGCTTTGTATGAATAAAACATTTCTCAAGCAATTATTGATACTACTACAAAAAGCTGCGAGAAGTAGATTGTATATGACATCCGTCTGATTGATATGTGTGTGTTGTGTTTCAGTTGATGGCGGTGTACGAGGAACAGGAGGCTCAGAGGACCACCCCAGACCCCATCGTCAGTCCCAGCCCTGAGCTGTACCACACTGAGCTCTCAGTGTTTCAGCCAATCACAGGAGGAGAGATCGAAGTCACCTCCTCAGCTCTCAAGTCCAGTGAGTAGCTGTGTCCTTCAACTTTGCTTATATGTTTTAATATTGGTAATGGAAACTGGGTTTAGTAGGGGATCCTGGGTTACAGTACAACATTTTGCTTCATTCATAATCAGTTCAGAAATGTACTTATACCAGATTTTTAATGACTGTACATATTAATGGTTGTCGTCACACCGATCTCCGCCGCTGAAACAAATTATGCCACCACTTTTGCCTTCTCTGGGCTTTTTCAAAATGGCCGTGGCTCAGGTAAATGTAAAAAAAACCTATGTGCATGCGTTAGCCGGTATGAGCCCAAGTGCATTCAAAAGTCCACAGCGGTTAAACTAGGCTGGTCCAAAAAAAAAACTCCCCTCAGCATTGACGGCATCTGGAACTAAGCTTGACTTTTGGACCAAGAGCGACTTTTAGAACATCCTGTAAAGACGTTTTAGAGGAAAGAAGGCGCCATACAAAAGCATTGGGTAATTCTCTTTCCGGGTACACCTGCACCGGCAAAGGGGTGAGATTGCAGCATGTCAGCGTTCGTGCTCATGGACCTTTTTGGAACCGGGACACAACTGGCAGCTGCGTTTGCAGTGAGAGGGATGTGGAGTCAAGACCAGAGAAGAGGGAGAAGATGAGGATTTGACAACTTTATGGAAATAAGGACAAAGAAGAGTTTTAAATCTTTCCAATGGTGTGGATGTGAAAGAAACATGATTGACATCAGTAAAATTGAGCCAATTCTGTCGTATTATAAATGCTTCTGCCCTACATTATATATATTGCAAAAGGGTTACAACCTTATTAAACCAGACCTACTCTCACCGCAGATTTGAGAAAAAAAAATAATAATTAAAAAAAAAAAAAAAAAAAAAAAATCTAGCAAGACTTTGACTTTTTAATATTTTTTTGGCCTTGTCAAACAGACTCAAAGAAAAAGTAGCAGAAGTAAAGACAGGAAGTGTGTGTTTTGTGTCAGTGTCAGGCCCCAGACACACTTTGATATTTACGTCTGGCTTTTGTTACCTGGACAAGTCTTATCTCAATAACCTTTCCTCTACTGTTTAAACCGTTTTATTGTTTCACTGTACACTCCCACCCTCTGTCTTTTCCTATGCCAACAAAAACCAGGCTAAAAATATAGACTGCTTTGAAACTTCAAGCTACGTCTGTGTTTAGATGTATTTTCTAATTGTAATTATGTATAAATAAAAGGAATCTTTCTAAAATTTGGGAAGCAGATTATCACTGTATTCTAACTTCACATTCAAATATGGGGTTTCTAAATACAATTTCATAAAATAATACCATATAATACAATGTCTACAGTAATTCATGTTGGGTTTAATTAAAGTGATAGTCTGTAACTCTAAATGAATTACAAATTTTAGGAAATGTGTTAAATTGACCTCCTGGCCTTAAATATTGATATAAAATAAGTCATTTTATTAATTCTAATATTACAGGTAAGCCCCGCCTTCACTTCTCTTAGCTGTAGCTCAGAATCCACGGTGCCGTCGAGGTTAACCAATCGAGTCATGCCAAGGGCTGTCAATCATCAGCGCTGATGGTCGCAGCTGCACGCATGCGCAGTTGTTTGTTTTCACGGACCCTCCGAATCAAGCCTCTATTAGGCTCTGGAACTACATGAAAACTGAACAAAGAATTCTGAACATCCGCGCTGCGGTACATATGTATATAATGAACCTATATCCATAATCAGATCCTCTGCAGGTGTGTCCTATAATGTGCAATTCATGATAATAGCACTTCCGGGTTTGCCGCGATCGCTTTTTTTGTGCAGAAAAACATTCTTTTTTTCATTAAAACATTAACAAATAATTCTGAAAACCTCCGTGCATGTGTATTAATAATGTATATGTATAATGTGTTCTCTGATTAACATTTCAAAGTGTTACGTAAACTTAGGTGTAGACCAATCAGAAAGGAAGGGGAGGGAGCTTGCGTTTTTTTCAATTCAAGTACACCTATCTCTCTTTCTGACAAACTCCAGACAATCACTTTAAATTAAATAACACTGTAGTAATAACTACAGTGCTATTGCAAGTATGACATACTCTTTCCCGCTTTGAGTTTAGCTCTTTTGAGACAGGAAGTTTAGACTGCTTCCACACTGACCTCGGTCAGAAGAGGAGACTGTGATGGAAGATTTGAGGAATTCAAAATCTGGACACTGTCTCTGTCAGTATCCAGAGCTGGTTTTGTTGTAGCAACCTGCATTTATTTAGGATAAAAACAGGAACAGACGGGGCTATACAGCTCTTAAGCATACTGCCATTAAGTCATGTTTCTTTTTTCACTTAAAAATGTTTATTTCAAATGTGTCGATTTTAAAACAAAATCAAAGCAACAAAAGTGAAATCATATGAAATGAATGAATAGTTAAACATTAGAACATAACTAGAATCATTTTGAAAAATAAATAAATAGGATAACAGTTTGAAGTGCTTAAGTCCATCTTAATTATTTTTTCTTTAATGTGTACATGTTTTAAGAAAAGGGGCAGGCAACACAAGATTATTTTCTTTTTGCTTCTTTCCATTTGTGTGACAGGAAAACAATTATTTGAAATATAATTGTAGTTTCTGATGTATTGACATGTCCACAATTTTTATAAATAAAATACATAAAAAATACAAACTGTTTGTGCCCCTAAAATGATTTAGACTGGGGGGGCAGTTTTTTTGAATGCAGACAAAAATCCTCATCATAAAACTCCAAGCTTTTTTAGTTAATATCAGGTTTCAACTTTATAAAAAAAAAACTTTTTACATTGTATCATATCAAATGTACTCTACCTCCCTAATCCTCTTTGTACCTCTCTCTTACCTATGCTTTTTACATTGACCCCTGAACTCTCCGAGATCCCATTGTTTCTTTGTCTGCTATGAATCAGTTTTCTCCGTCTGTGCACACTCCTTTCACTGCCTTTCTTTAAAAGAGATGAATTGATTGAAGCTTTGACGTAATCCATATCTCAAGCCGGCTTAAGAGCACCCAGGGTCCTTTTGTTGTGATCAATACATGACCCTGCAAATATCATTGGACATATGCTGTTAGGAGGCCACTCAGACTCTCCCACTTCTTTTGCCCCTACACCGGTCTGTATGTAATCCCGATGGAGCTATGGAGGCTAATATGACATTGTCCTTAATGTATATGGGTAGAGAGGTTGTGCATATAAGAACATACCCTTTACCAGAGTGCTTTTGTGGAATAAAAATTCTTGTAATTGAATAAATTCAACATTAGCTTAAAGAGGCTTGTACTGTGACTGATTTTTATCTCCATAAAAGCAGCTAGTGATGATGTATAAAAATATGACTTTATTTATCAAGGTTTTGTGCGTGAGCAAAAGCAATTGGCACTCTTTTAGATTGGGGCAAACTAATGAATGACACATAGCCAGACTGGCTGATATGAGAAGAAACTGTATTGGGATATGATCATTATCCATCCTGACCATGGATACAGTAATGATATCGGGAGTATTACTAGTTTGAGCTGAAGGATCCATGTCCTCAAGGGATTCCAAAGGTAGTGCAGAAATAAGACAGAACTCAATTTAAACTATAACAGCTCTATTTCAGTTGGCAAAGAACTTACAGCTTTCAGATTTCACCGTTAACATTTCACGAAGCGTTGCAGAGACTGGGGCTTCAAGGATTTACATTTATTTGTGTAGGTTTTTAGTGTTGACTTTCCGTTTTCATTTTCTGCACAGGCTTTATGTACTCCATCGATCAGCTTGAGGTAAATGATAATTTTATGCAGTGAGCTGATGAGATGTGAAGACATCATATGTCACTTACCAGCGCTCTCTCTCTCTCACAGGCATCACTCACTTATTGGCCATTACTAGCTGGAGTTCACTTTGAGCTATAAAAGGAGTGCAAACTTTTAAAAAATAAACCTGGAAACACAGCAACCAGACATTTCAGCACATGAAGAAATCATGTTTTTACTTCTATCAAAAGCCTACAGTTTACATTTATCATGGTGTTGACATTATGGCTTTGATGACCACCTAAAGAGCAGAGTGAAACATATGGATTATTGAAATATCGCACTTTTTTTTTTTATAAAGACCTATAGTATGAAGTCTATTCAAGAGATCCTTTATATGTCCCATAGCAGGGAAATTTCTATCTTTTGGCATAATGAGTACAAAAAACTTTTGCACAATAGTGGAGTATAAAATCTCTACATTTGGCATAATACGAAGCAAGTATAAAGTGCTGTGTATTCTAGTGCAAGTATATATAGTTATATGTTTACATCTTTACATGTTAGTATTAGCATGAGGCTCTGGGACACAGCGACTCAGCAAAGTGACAGTAACACATCTGGTTCTATAGCGCACATTCTGACATTAGTTCAAGATATTGGGTTGATGCATGACATGTGAGGTCAGGTCGGCATTGTTTGTTGTACAGTCTGACAGTAGCAGGAAGGAAAGACCTGCGAAACCTCTCCTTCACACAGCGAGCCATATTTGTCAAATGAGGCTGGTACAGGCACAGGTCGCAAGTTTCCCCACTATCCTAACTGTACTAATCTTTGTCCTCCCGGTAGGTCACTTGGCTAAACATTACCCTATAGCCATTGGAGCAAAGTAACATGGCGTTGTTTGTGCAGACAAGAAAAAAAATTCCCAGTCTGTTCATTACCAAATATCCCTGACGTTTTTGTTTTGGGAGTTTTTTTGATTATATACGATTGCTACCCCACGTCATCCAAATGGTTTTAGAACCAGTTTGTCCTTCCCCAAAAAGGACCAGGACTTTGCAAATGGAACTGATCCTCCTTAACTGACCAACTCAACCTAAAGCCCAGATAACTAGCCTCAATGTATAGGGTATGTGTGGCATTACCGGCCTGTCCAGCAATTCAAGGAGTATTTGACGTTACCATTTTGAAGCCATGAAAACTACCATTGTGGCATTTCAATAGATAATATTTTTCTTTGGGGCGACAAAGAAGAACTTTGGCCCCACTGACTTCTGCTGTCGTTGGTTCCCTGGGCAAGACTCTTAACTCCACTTTGCCTGAAGCCCCTGCTGAAAGACCTAAACCAAGGTGTCTTCATTGACAAAGCAGACAAAAATGAATGAATGAATAATGTTTCTCTTTGGCAATATTTTTGTGTATTTGTGTCCAACCTGGGGAGAAGTGGGAGATAAATTAATGAATAATTTTTTTTCTTTGGCCACTAGCAATATCTTAGTAATTGTATGGCATGTTTATTTGTGACGACCAGCTTTGCTCCTCTTATTACCTTGCTGCACAAAGCATCACATATGACTCTCCTCTTGTTTTACAGACACCCCCCTGCTGGTGAGGAGCAGTAGTGACTCAGTTCTCAACCCTCCGGCTGCAGAGAATGAGCCCTCCCTTCCTGCTGACCCTCATCCTATGGTAAGACATGCCCCCCAAGCCTCTAAAGTCTAATGTATTGGCCAACAGGACAAAACCGGCGTAGTCGTTCATTTACATTCACATTTTCTCTCAATGCAAATAAAGGCTTTGATATACCATCTGGCTCATTCTGCACTCATCAGCAACTCAAAGTATAAAATATTTGTTTACACACAATTGTCAACTTAATTATACTAAAATGTTTTGCTGCTGATATGACAGACTTAATTTCAGTTATGAATGCTGTTGTTTCTTCATGCATAGACAAACAGCGCCTCGAAAAGTATACCCCTTAGTAATGTGTGTTTGTGTGTGTGTTTGTGTGTGTGTGTGTCTGCGTGTGAGGGGAAACTTGCCTTTTTCAATAATGGGAGTTTATTATCAAAATGTGGGAAATCGGTTTTAGAGGAAACTTTGAGAAGACATTAACGGATTCTATGCAGATGCATTTATTCAGAGAAAAGTCATTTTAGAGACATTTAACTTCATTCCCCCTACTATAAATACAATTTGTGTGTGTTTGAGAGTGTGATTGTAGGACAACGGATATAAAATTAGCCCTTGACTACAATCCGGAAAGGTGTGTTCATTAACATGCACTGTCCCACCCAGCAAATCAAACAAACAATTGGAAATCAAATTTCTTGTATAATATGCCTGTCCAAAGATTGTATCACATTGGTAGATTACATGTTATGAGAGAGTCAATCAGTCCCCGGTGCGTTCCTGAAAATAACATCTATATTAAACTGTACTTCAAATCCACACACATGATGAAGTACACTGCAAAAAGTGATGCAAAATAAGCCAATAATTGCTCAAGTTTGGTCAAAAGTACCTTACTCTAAGCACATTCTAACTGCCTTAAAACAACATCCGCCAATGGGACAAATCAAAAGGAACTTGTTTAAAAAAAGATTCAAGACATGTCTCACTTTGACTGAGAAAAAACTCTTGAATTGAGACTAAATCGTAGTAGTAGTAGTAAATAGCTGTGGCACGACTTGCCAAATAGCTGTGGCAAGTCGTGTTTTAAGAAAGTCAGAATGTACTCGGGTTAAGATAAACACTAGTCTCAAGCAATTATCCATCCATATGTGATCTTTTTTTTTTGCAGTGTAGTTCTATTATTGTGTGTGTGTCAGGCTTCATACTGCCTTCAGCTGCTTGGACAAAGTAAATCTCCACTGGCCTCTTGGTCTAAAAAGACTTACAGCTGATTACACTCCTGAGAGGTGAGCCATCGTCCCAAGAGACTGGACAAACACCTTTTAAGGACCTTAATTCCCCTCGGAAAGGCTCTCAATTGTCCTTTCTTGTTCCCTGCGTGGCCAAATAGCTCATGTTTCTTAGATTCAGTTACTAAGGGAGAGGCAAGTTGTGTACGTCTACTGTCGCTCTTCTCAGGTTGTGCGCTGTCCAATGTTAAACCTGAAACCAAAAAGCCTGTTATGGTTAAAATCACACGTTCATTCATCACTTTTGCAGAATTCTGGGCGCACTACACTTGTCACTTAAAAATGTAAACTGTCACATTCATCTTGATAGTTTTACTGGTGGAAGACGTGGAAGGATTTGGATCGGGCTTGTATCATGTTGCGTGGACTGCCGTTTTCTGCTTACATGTTGGATTAGTTTCCACTGCATGCAATCTCAAGGTATTATGCTTGGAGAGAAGGTTTATTGAATTGATATCGGGGGCTTTTCAAAATTGATAAGTAAAGGTTTATTCAACTCTTAAGTTGCACCATTTTTTTACTTTGATGTTGCTTCTGTAATCGACAACAACTTTGATTGGTGACAGGAGACAGGAATGTAAAGGATAGCAGCAAAAAGGCTAGCTAACGGCAAGCGGATGTCAGTCTAATAGTAATTTTTAAAAGTAAACAGGTGAAAAGAGTAAAGCGGACTGTAGGTTGTGTAAAACGGTCACGAGGAGGGTCCAAAACAAATGCGTATAACACCAGCAACTTTGATCAAACATCTGTCAGCTCAACACCACTGGAGTACACCACCTTTGCTAGCACCGGAGCACAAAAACAACCACTCTGCATCATAGCATTTTCTTAATGTGGAAATGAGAAATAAACCATTTTAAATTTCAGTTGTACTAATTTTTATGAATTCCCAGTGATAACATCGGTTTTTTGAAGTGTTAAGGATACAATTTGTTTCTCCTCTTGTTCCTGTTTGTTCATGCTGCCTGATTTTGTAGACAATAATTATGATAAATGTAATTTGTTGACATAATAATAATTCAATAAATGAAAACAAAATAATGATTATGTATATGACTCAGCCATGTATCAGACACTCGCTAGGAAGAATGCTTAAAATAATATCCCATGTTTTTTTGTTTTTGTTAATACTACTTCATGTTTGTATTAGCAGTAAAAGAAACAGTACTAGCAGTAGCCGTGAACAACGCTATGTGAAGCGTCTTTGATTGTGCAATAAAGCACTTAATAAAACCAATACATTATTATTGATAATGGTACGTTTCACAAACATTACAACACAAAAAGTCTGACATTTGAATCAGCTCAATGTGTTATTGCGTAAGACTTTATCTGTGGTGTTGCTTGAGTGTTTTCTACCTGCTTTCCCTCCCACTGTTGTCCATGTGAAGTCTGGGATAGCTCAGCGTGTCGCCTTTGTGACGTTTCCGTGTAAGCGTGTGAAAGAACCACATCCACTCCATCCATGCACCATCTGTCACTTCACGTCTGTATTCATGTCTCTCATTTTTTATCATTTTACAAACTGCTTCACAGCGTTGACATGAACAGGAGTCTGTCGTTTAGCACCAAGTTTTGTAGTCACCGACAGAATTCTTTTTATTATGAATTTATCCAATATGTCATCACAGTTTTGTTTGAGAGAGACCATCTGCTAGTGTCCCCACACAAGCCAAACATATGCAAGTTGTCTAAGCCAGTTTTTATTTTAGTACACAGATTTTGCTTCATATAACTTTTTAGCCAAGAAGGAAAAAAAGAATAAACCTCTAATTTCTTTGACTTTATGACTTACTCCGCTAATATTGCTAACTTATTATGGTGGTGTTCACTCTGTAAAAACATTTTGACCGTAAAAGTGAATAGAAGAATTTTCTACTTCCGGGTGGATCATCAAAACTATTAGTCCTCCAATTTTCGATCATTCTGGTAATGCATGCTTGTCAAATAAGACCAGAGTTTTTTTCAAAAAGTGGAGAGGGCGGTTCTTTCCTAATCATTGGGAATATCCTTCCATATTCTTTTTAAACTAAAGATTTAACTGTATCCTGTCCCTTTTCTACTGATGTTGGGCCTACCTTTTCTAACCTACTTTTCTCAAAAGCCAGAAATACAGGAATATTCCACCGTGTGTGTAGTCCTTTTTTTTGTCTCCCATAGGAGGAATTTGTGTTGGGACAGGGGTTCACAAACATTTGCTTACACCACAGTAGACTGTAGACAATACACATTTATCATTAACAGGCCAAAAGTTAATATACAGGTCACTATTTTGTTTTTTTTGTCAGTTTAAACAGGGAACTTTAACAATCTTGCACTTGTATTCAAACTGTTTGCGTTGGATCAATTTCACAATGACATTATTTTTTTTTTTACTTAAATGAATCTGAATCTACATACACAAACATACAAACATATACAATCTAAACCCAACAGTCGTACCAATCATTGCAACTGATGAGTCATTTTTGACCTGAGAAACCTTTTTTCATCATATACATTTTACCCGTTGCTAAAGTTGAGGCTTTGCACATCTTGGAGTGCTACATAAAACATGTACGTTCAACATTCAATGCACTTTTCTTACAAAAACTGCTGCAGCTCCGTGATCAAATCGGTCCAGCATCAGCATAAGAATTTGCAAAAACGATATCTCTAGCTTTTGCACTTTCGCTGAGGATTGGGCTCCCCTTAGACAATGTTGACTGTGAACGGCAGACAGTAATAGACACAAATATGAGAATGAACGGTAAGAAACCCTGTAGCTATTAAAGGACAGCTTGGTCTTTAATGGACCTTTATTTACGCTTGACATAAGAAAAGAATATGTGAGAATTTGTGATTATTTGAATGAACGCTGCAAACCAAACTAGCTCTATGAGATGAAATGAGACCGGTAAATATTGACATTTTTTTTCTTACTCTTTTAGTAATCTGTTAAAGACAATTTAGAAAATGAATAGATATAATAAAATAGTTTTGTTTTTGGCTATATATTTGAAAGAAACCAATCTTTACCAAACACCTACTTGGTAAAGATTTTTTTCTAATGACACTTATCTGTTTGTTTTTTGGAAGTTCAAACAAGATTTTTTTATTTTTTTTATTTCAAATAAACATAATTATTAGTGACATTATTGCAGTCAGATTATTGTAACAGTCACATGACCACCCCAAATAGCTCAAATAATGCACCTTTTCAATACTGATCAAACCATAATCCTAATTGTTTGTATAGGTTTATACCCAAATAAACATATTTTATTTTATCTGAAACAAAAAGCAAACTGCACAGGTGAAAGACCAAACACATCACATACCAATCATGTCTGAGTGCTTAATTACCTTTTTTTTTTACTTAAAAAAAAATAAAAAAGCCCATTATCCCAATTTTCTTCCTTTTCCTGTTTGCCTGCCTTGTCCTTCCCTCTCACTCTTGCACAGTGGTCCTGTCTCGGCCCAGCTTAGGTGCAGGTAATGGCACATGGTAATTGCTCAAATTGTCACTTGGCCTTTAGGAGAGAGTGATGAAAGGACGTAGCACTCCTCGTCTCTAATTCACTGTCTTTTCTTCTGCCGTCTTTCCTTTCTTATTCTGAAATATGAAGGTTTTGGAGGTCACTATATATTCCTTATATAAAGTAGGACTGAGGGAGAAGCAGGAGTCGAAGACTTTTCTAAAAAGGAAAAAATTCTAATAATCGAGTTGCAAAAACAGATGAGTCTATTCCCCTTCAAAAACTACTTTTTTTGTGCAATAAT